TTTTTGGCTTTTTGGGTCATACCTGGCGATGCCCAGGAGTTACTCCTGGATCATGCACTCAGGAATTACTCCTGGCGGTGCTCAGGTGACCATATAGGATGCTGGGAATGGAACCCAGGTTGGCCACAGGCAACGCAAACACCCTACCTGCTATACTATCACTCCAGCCCCCTGACTCCTTGTTTATAAATTGATTTTTGGGTCACACCTAGTGATGCACAGGGGTTACTCCTGGCTCTGCACTCAGGAATTACTCCTGGTGGTGCTCGGGGATGCTGCAAATTGAACTCAGGTCGGTCACGTGCAAGGCAAATGCCCTACCTGCTGTGCCATTGCTCCAGCCTCGTGACTCCATTTTTAAAGGGATTGCATCACCATTTTACTTTCTCTTGTGTTGTTTCTCAAAACGTAGCGTTCATGAGTTGTAAACTCGTAATTTTTTCAAGCTGGCTACCAGGTCCTCCATGTTCTGGCCGCAGCATTCTTTTCCAGCCTCATGTCCCACCACATCCCTTTTTGTCCTCTGCCACTAGCCTCTCCAGATTAGTCACTTGCCCAAGAAAACTTTGAGCTCATCCTCTTCAAGACCTTAGCACACAGTGTTCTCTGGGCTGATTTTCCTCCTCCATGGAAATCTTCTTGGGTGTCCAGGCCCAGTTCAAAAGTTACCATTTGTAGAGATCTCCCTCACAAAAAGTACATTGCATGTACTTTTGTGCTTTGTATCAATTTTTTTTTTTTACTGTCACTCAGCCCTGTGTATTTGAGCACATCTCCACCGATTCTGTGAATGTGTGTTAGCTCGAGTCATGTCTAACTCTGTGTGTACTTCTGCCACGTCCATTCACCATGCCTCAGTAAGACTGAAGGTGCTAGAAAATATTTATGTTGTGCACTTCTTGTGTGCAGGATTCTTGACACTACTTAAAAGTTACCTAGAAGAGCATTCAGGAGGTGATGTTAGGGATACCTGTGCTTTCTTTGACCATAAACCTGCCTTTTTAGTTTTATTATTGAATTACCTCATTGCTAAATTTTCCTGACCTGCTCATTATTAGCTAGAAATTTCTTAGTGTGGTTCTGAGCTTCTTATTTTACTTAAGAAATAGTAGCAAGGTGGAAATCAGGAAGGATCTCACAGTTACTGATGTGGGAATGCTTTAGTTTGAACATTGAGGGTTTTATTTATTTTTTTAAATCATTTTTATTCCAAAGCTCTGTGACTGCAAAAAATATAAAAACAACAGAAGATAATTTTTATGAATTTTTATTACTTACAGAAAAAAATAGCTATCTATATTGTAGTTGTAATTGCAGAGTGATGAAATTGGATTGTAGAGTTTGGTTTGAAGATTTGGGTTCAAGTCATGGCTTTATCATATACTAGCCTCCAAACCTTGCATAATGACCCAAACTTTTCTCACTATACAACTGGAAATTCTTTTGCAAAGACTTGACACAATGAATAAATGAGATTTTTAACATTAAATTAGAATTTTTATTGCTATGTGTTTAATATACTGGGTTTGAATATCATTTTAATATAGTTATTTTTAAAATTTTAATTTTATCTTTTCATGTACATACTCCACATTTTGGATAAAAAAAGTGTATTTGTCATGAAGGGATACCTAATATCTAACAGAAAACATGAACATATTCTACTTAGAAGATCTAGTTTGAATAAATTAGAAAATATTCAAATATTTTTATAGATTAGAAAATATTCAATATCAATTCCAGAGAATATGGAATTGATGCATATAAAAAGTTTGGGAAAGTTTATTTAAGACTCTTTCAAATTATGAGGTGAACATTAATTAATGCTCACTACATATAGATCTGTGCTGCATGTGCTGGATATGGAATCCCCAGAAATAATTAAATACATTCTCATGGGTAAGTGGTCTTACTCCCATTTTGCTGACAGGGAAATGAACTAAGGAAGATTAAATAACGTACACAAGTCTAATGCCGAAGACTTGAAATTCCTATTCATAATGTGCTCATAATGGTTTCTAGAAACACTTTTACAGATGGGACAAAATCTTTCTTTATTTTGTTAATTCTTTATCCTCAGTATTAGTGGCAACCACTAACTCTGGGCCAGACGAGCAGTAGAACTGTGCATGCCTTGATGCTTTTTAAGTTGTTAAATGAATCTTGATGATTTTCTTTATATTTGCTGCTATGAATCTGCTTTTTTGGAGTTTCTTTGACTTACCCATTCACCTTGCTTTCTTTTTAATCCATTTGGGAAGATATTTGTTATTGCTTTTCTCTACTTTGAAGGCAGGTGTACCTTAATGAGTTCTTTCTATTTTATTTATAAAATTTTACTGATGGAGGGGCTGTAAGGGGTAGTACAGCGGGTAGGGTAGGGTGTTTGCCTTGCACACAGCTGACCCAGACTTGATTCCGGGCATCTCATATGGTCCCCTGACTATCACCAGGAGTAATTCCTGACTAGAGAGTCAGGAGTAACCCTGAGCACCACTGGGTGTAAGTAACCCCCAAACAAAACAACTGCCCCCCCCAAAGGAAAACAACTTGCAGGTGGAAAAGAAATTTGCTATTTTCCATTACCTACTCTAACGTGGTGGTGGTAGAAAAGAAATGGAATTTGGGAGTCTTGCGATCTCTTGTTGAATCTGTTCATGATTATGAAGAGGATTTTGGTCTCCCCACTTCCTTTTCCATTTAGGGTTTAAGAATCTTCATCTCTGAAGAATGAGAACACTACAAGGTGACTCCTGAGATTTTAAAGTTCTGCATGTTTTGTGGTGTCAAATCCATCAATTTCTGCTGAGCTTCGTAATCCTGCAGCTGTTTCTCTGATACTTTCAATCTTTAGATTTAATCTATTCAACAATGTATAATTTTTTAAAGGGAAGCTTTTATAGACACTTCTAAAATATAAGGGTGGGGGATAAATGGATGTTAAAAAATAGAAAACAACCAATTAAATAGTATATAGCATGTAATTCTCCTTGGAAACTTACCACGAAATTGAAGAGCACTTTAACAACTGGTAATTTAAATTGCATTTGAACTCTGCTAATGGTTTGTTTGCATGGGAACTTCAATCATTTCACAGCGGTTCTTAAGCGAAGCTGCTTGTTCTCTTTATGGAAAAGAAGAAAAAAAATATTAAAAGAGAAGTTGAATATGGAAAAGGGAGACCACTTTCATTTCTGCATGGAGGGAAGCTGGCAAGTATGAGAGATTCCCCCAGGGTTAAGGGTGGAGAGCTTTGCCTTTCAGTGGACTTGAGTAATTCGGGGAAGTCAGATGCCCTTTGCTGCTGTTGTAGAAACCGTTCTGATTTATGTCTCCTGCTGCCAGGAGAGCTTAGATTTCCTGGGACTTGTACATGAGGGATTTTTTTTTTTTGGTGTGTGTGTGTGTATGTGTGTGTGTGTGTGTGTGTGTGAGAGAGAGAGAGAGAGAGAGAGAGAGAGAGAGAACTTTCACTTGCCACAATCCAATCCTGACAATTCATCCCTCAGCCTCTCTCTTTTTTCAGTGGAAGGGCTTCGAGAAATCTAAAACCCTTGAAAACCACAACCTCTCAGGAAAGTCATTACTTCACTGGGCTTCTCCTGGTGGTTCCTCATTTTCCTAATTTAATTTATTTCTGCCATTAGAACTTTGAGACAGGTGTTCAGAGACCTGAATGTGAGAGTCTTGGTTTTCTTCCACAGTTGAGGGTATAACCAAAGGCAGGTTCCTTAGTCCAGTGAATCTGTTCTCCTTTGTTAGAGTGAACTTAACTGGGGCTGGTGGTACAATTCGCAGACTACCATCCGTGGCTCTAGAATGACCTTCTCCTTATTCTTGCCTCCAAATGCTTTCCTCATCAATTGAAAGACTTGGGGTGGCTCATTTTCCCTTTTATTTCTTTGTTTTGTTTTTGGCCCTACTTAGGACTTACTCCTGATCTGTACTTGGGGATCACTGCTGGCAGAGTCAGGGACCATTAGGCAGTGATCGTGATCAAACCTGGGTCTACTAAGGCAAGTGTATCTGCTGGACTATCTCTATGTCCCATGGTGGATGATGATGACGATGACGATGATGATGATGATGATGATGATGATGATGATGATGATGATGATGTGTGTGTGTGTGTGTGTGTGTGTGTGTGTGTGATATACCCAGTGCTGCCTAGGGGCTACTTTCAGCTCCATACTGAAGGTTATTCCTGGACATGCTCAAGGAATCATGTGCTGCTGGGGACCAAACCTAGGGCTTTTGCATGCAAAACATATGCTCAAGTTATCTCCATGGCCCCATGGTAGGTCATTTTTAATGCCTTTACCAAACTTTGAGATTATCAGGTAGGTGAAGACTGAATAGCACATAGAAAGCAGAGAGTATCATTGTTTAAACAATGACAATAAAAGTAGTAGTTTTTCTACTTGGACTATTTCTCTTGAACAAACAAAAGGACACATTCGATAATAGCCCAAGCTTGGCATGCTTGTCTGTTGGAATACGTATTGTTGCATAATCCTTAGCAAGATAGCAATCAACCTTAATGAAATGAAAACTATAATGAGGACTTAACAGAAAGTGTAAAGAGGGTCCAACTCCCAGCAGCTCAGGGTTCTCTATTGATTCTCTAGGCTCAAGTTTTCCTCCAAACTCCTATTCCTGGTCTCTTTTAAGTTGTGGCTCAGATTTTGCTGTTAAATGTTCACTTGCCTGAAAATGTTTTTAACTCACTTACCTATCATTTTTCAAATCTGATATTATGATGGAGCTGCTTCCCCTGGAGAGTGGGGCATAAACACGAGGGCATCTGCAGCTTTCTCACTCTGCGGCACGTGAGTGAAATAGAAGTGCCAGGATTTGGCTGGTAAACTCCTGGATTTGGGGGTTTCAAGAATGGCATCACTCCAAGTATGGCTTGTCAGTAAGTTCATGAACCTGGAAAGTTCTAAAGCTGGTAAAACCTGAGAGATTCATAAGCAACATCCTTTTCCTATTTTTCATAGGTGTGGAACACCGAGTGTCAGAACAGAACGGAAGTGAGAATTGAGACACCTGATTCCCAGTCTAGTGCGTTCCTTTTTATTGTCTACTTCTTTGAACTCATCACAGGAAAAGTGGTTTTCCTCACCTGGTAAGTTCTACATAGAAGAATTTCCCTTGTATTATGAATGTGCATATTCTAATGAGTCTTAAAAAACAGTGAAACCCAAGCACAAAGATTTGTAAGTCTACAACTGTACCTCATGGTGTCTCACTAATAAGTAAAGTAAATTAAAGGCCCTCCCGTTGATCATCGATTTGCTCGAGCGGGCCCAGTAACGTCTCCATTGGAGACTTTGTTGTTACTGTGTCTGGCATATCAAATACGTCACGGGGAGATTGCCAGGCCCTGCCGTGCGGGCGAGATACTCTCGGTAGCTTGCCGGGCTCTCCGAGAGGGGCGGAGGAATCGAACTCCGGTCGGCCATGTTGGCTGCATGCAAGGCAAACGCCCTACCGCTGTGCTATCGCTCCAGCCCTCACTAATAAAAATTTAAAAAAAAACAGTGTCCTCCAATTAAATAACAGGTATGAATAACTAGGAAGGACTATGAGCAAGACAAGAAACAGAATGTTTTTCTTTTTTCTTGAAATGATTTCACTGGCAATGGACACAATATAATTCTGCTTATAAAATGTGCGGCAAAGCAAAGGCAGAACTCAGCTCTTGGAAAGGAGCATAAAGAGAACTTGGAAGAAAATGTGGAGTAATGATGATTTTGGCGTGCCAAGAATTGTATTGCTTTCTTCTTTTTCTTTTGACATGAAGGGAAGTGTTCTTGAAATAAAGAACCAAAATGAAAATGTCTTTGAACGGTGTTATGGGCATTTGGGGGGAAAGGAAGTAATATTATTGAGTGGCTCTTGTTTACCCTTGTGCACGGTGCTTCTTTTGTGATCTTTTTATTTTTACAACAACCCTTTGAGGCAAGAGAGGCTAAATTTGCTTAGCAAAGACTGTGAACCTTTCTGCAGCGGGTTTACTGGCGTTCCACTGGGATCTGAGTTTGAATCCTATTACACACTATGCTATAGCATTGGTGACGAGGTAAGGCATGCTTTTTCTTTGTATGAGTTTTGGGGCTTCTTCTCTTGTATTTATGGAAAAAACAGAAAATCATGTTCTAAAAAATGGAGGTGGTGAAAAGAATTTATGGTGTAGAGTACATGAACTGTGGGGATATCTGAGGAAGAGAGCAGGAGGATTCTGGGAAGAGCTTCCACTTGGAACTCCACATCTGTGATATCCATCTGAAGGGCCAGTTCATGTGTGCCTTAAACACAAATTTGAGCTTGAAATATCAGCATTATATTGAATAAGTAATATGCCTTGCCCGGTTCTTTACAGGGTAGTTTTCTAAAATGGACCAGCTGCTTTTGGAATTTATAAACTCTAATTGTGTTTAATAGTGTCATTGACTTTAGAAGTTCTGTTTTATCCCCTTTTCTTAATGATTTTTTTTTTCAGAAGAATCACTGACTTCTAGTTACCCTATGAATTCTGAATAAGATAAAAGACAGCACACCCTTACTTTGATTCTGCAATGCTATAGACTGTAAAAATTTCAAACATGGGGCTGGAGGAATAGGACAGCAAGTACGGTACTTACCTTGAACGTTGATGACCTGGGTTCGATTCTTGGCATTCCACATGGTCTTCTAAGTCCGACCAGAAGTGATCCCTGAGCTTAAAGCAAGGAACAAGCACTGAGCATGACTGCGTAGTTATAAAACAAAACAAAAGCAAAGTAAAACAGTTTAAAATTTCAAATGTGGTTGTGACTGTTTTGTTCTCAGCATACACTGAAACACCAAATGTGCATTTTTGTTACCTGTTCTATCTCCAGTTTTTTTCAGTGTTTCAAATCGAATTGGGGTTCAATAGGAAGCCTTGTGGGCTGGAGCGATAGCACAGTGGGTAGGGCATTTGTCTTGCATGAGGCCGACCTGGTCGGCCCAGGTTCAATTCCTCTGCCCCTCTCGGATAGCCCGGAAAACTACCGAGAGTATCTTGCCCGCACGGCAAAGCCTGGCAAGCTACCTGTGACGTATTCAACATGCCAAACACAGTAACAAGTCTCACAATGGAGACGTTACTGGGCCCACTCGAGCAAATCAGTGAACAATGGGAGGACAGTGCTACAGTGCAATGCAGGAAGCCTTGCTACTGGATTAAAAATAAATATCAAGGGTCTAATGATAGAATGTGAGAGTGCCATAATAGGAGCAAGTTGGAAGAGACTCAGGTTCTGTTGCAAGGATGCAAAGTATGAACGAAAGGTAACATTTGTCTTCTAAAATGCGGGGCAGTCTTAGATTGCACTAAATTAAATGAGGTTTCTAGAACAAAGTAGGCTCAGGATTTCTCTGAAAACCAGTCATTATAGAGTAAAGCAAGTTTCAGATCTAGGTTGAGAGGAACTTGGCTCTCTTTCTCTGAACTCTGTACTCTCCTTTTTCCTTTTGGGTTTTGTCCTCTGGATGCTTTGCCACTTGGATTATGCTATAGCTGGCATATAGGTCTCCTCTTTCCATTTCATGTGAAGAGTATCTTTTGTTCATATCCATAGACTTGTTCATTGCACATTCTCTGTTTCTGTTTTGGAGCACACCCACCTGTGTTCACTGCTTACTCCTGGCTCTGTGCTCAGGGATCACTCCTGGTGATACTTAAAAGACCACATGCAGGGATCAAATGTGGGTCTGCTGCATGCAAAGCAAACACTTTACTCCTGTATTATTTCTCCAGTCTGTTACACATTTTTTTTTTAAAGGCTAAACCATGTATTTTATTTTTTTCCCATTTTTTATAACTTAATTTGTTGAATCACTGTGAGAGCAGTTACAAAGTTTTTGGGTCTAAGTCTCAGTCATACAATGAAACACCCATACCTTCACCAGTGCCCATTCTCTACCACCAAAAACCCCAGTAAACCCCCATCCCACACCTTCTCCCTACCTGTGGGGCAGATGATTTCCACATTACTCTCTCTCTACTTTGATCACATTCAATATTTCGACACCAGACCCTCCATTATTATTTGAGATTTTACCCCAACACTCAGATCTGCTGAAAAGGCAACAGTAGACAATTTGTGTTCTACTGCTGGTTATAAATAACATATGATGTCACGTGTCTGCAGTAGGACCATGTGATTGTGAAATTCTGAATTTTAACACTTAAATCTGGAGGAATTTCTGCCAAAAGCCAGTGGGTTTCAAGATTTGCTCCTGAGTCTCTTGGATCATGGCCATTAAGCAGCTTGATCAGGAGCCAGAGAGGCCATTTGTGGGCGATGACTTGGGGTCTCTTTGGGATGGGGAGACCAGGACCAGCTCCACCCCCATCCTGTGAGGCCCAACAATTTCGTCACTGCGGGCCCAGACCTGGCTGTCCAATGGCCTCTAGAGGATGGCGACCACCGAGCTGCCAAGGGGGAGCAGGCGGAGGGACAACACCTTTCCCCCCTGGGGTGGCCCAGCGACAGTAACCTACTGCGTGGTCTGGACGCATTTCTGCCAAAAGCTGCTGGGTTTCGAGATTTGCTCCTGAGTCTCTGGGATCATGGCCATTAAGCAGCTTGATCAGGAGCCAGAGAGGCCATTTGTGGGCGATGACTTGGGGTCTTGTTGGGGTGGGGAGGACAGGCCCGGCTCCACCCCCATCCTGTGAGGCCCAACAAGTTTCGTCACTGCGGGCCCAAGCCTGACTGTCCAATGGCTGGAGGATGATGGCCACCAAGCCTCCAGGGAGAGCAGGCAGAGTGACAACACCCTTTCCTCCCTGTGGTGGCCCGGTGACTGTAATGTACTGTGGGGTCCGGATGCATTTCTGCCAAAAGCAGTTCAATCAGGAACCAGAGAGGCCATGCCTCCAATTGTATAGCTGAGCCGGAGATGGTTTGTGGGTGTGTTTCCCACCTACCTAACTTTTGGCCGTTCACTTTCTTAGTAAACTTTGCCCCAAGTTTTTGGGGTCTGGCCAAAGGCACAGCAGCAATTTTGGGGTATCTGGAAGTCTGAAGGCGCCATCAGGCTGCTGATGCACTCACCTCACAGGTACAAATTGACCTACTGGCGGCACCATACCCCCCTCTCCGCCCCCCCTCCCCCCCGCCCCATACACATTCTTAAACTGATCACAAAGCCAAGAGGATGAGACAAGCTAATTGGCAGATGGGAACATGTGTTACCTCTAGAACTGAATGTTTGAAATGATCTCACACCAACCTCAAGGCAGATATGTCATGGAGAAGGCATAGTGCTCTTCACTCCAGAGAGTTGTTTAAAGGAATATCTTGGAGGTGTCAGAAAGTAGAGAGGTTTCTAAAGTCATGTTGGCAACCATGGACTTGCCTCCAGAGCTCCCTTAGAATGATGGACTTGAATTTTTGCCTCATCCTTTGGAAGGCATATTAGGCAACTGAAACATTTTGAGAACACTAGAAAGGATACATTATCAGGAGGTTTATAGGAATGAGACCCAGTGGGAAGATAGGATGTTTCCTAGGCAGAAGTGACTAAGGTCTTTAAGAATACAACACTGGAACCAGAGAAGAAATAATACAGGGATGATGGCTTGCCTTGCACTCAGCTGGCCCTGACTTGATCCCTGTGGCATTGCATATGGTCTTCTGAGCACCACCAGGTTCTGAGCACAGATGGGTGTGTCCCTTCATCCCAAGTCCTGCAAAACTAAAACATTACAAGATGTGGTCAGAAGAAGGACTACATTGTCTATTCCTTGTGCGTATTTTCAGAATTCAGTGGGATCCTTGTTTCTAGGTATAAATATATTTTAATGAATAAAAAGAATACATTCAAAAGTATCTCTTTTCTTGAGAGTTTTCAATCTGCCTGATCAATTCTCCCTTGGGAAATTTTTAAGAATTTAAACAGTGGAATGAATTCTGTGGAGGGCTCGTCTGCTTGGGGTTTGAGAATGAAACATGTTTGATAGTCTTTTGAGACTACTACTGGACTTAGTATATTTGTGAGTACATTCAATGGTAGAAAGTATGGTAGATCATGCAATCAAAAACACTGTCAGTCATTAATTGCACAACTCTAGAAAAAGAATCTACCTTTACT